ATCCCCATGCCTGAGGTATTCCCTCCCCACCCCAGGCCAGGTGGCAGAACCAGGTCTTCAAAACCTTACGGAAGGCCAGGAGTGTGGGGGCCAATCACACCTCCGGGGGCAGGACGTTCCAAAGAGCATTTAACTATCAGTGAAGTAAGATGAAGTCTCCTTCAAGTTAAGCTGAACTCCTGGTGGGTTCAGGGACATTGGCATATTATTTTCTTGGCAACAACACAAAAATGGTTTGCTTTTGTCTTCCGGGTTTTACTTTTTCAATCTAGCTTTCAACTCTGGATTTCCTGCTAACGAAAATGTCCTGATTTGGAGAAAAGACACAGGTGCTTTACGTGTTGCAAAGACGTGCTGTATTTGCACTCGGAAGCAGTGCACAAGCCTACTCTATTGTGCCTTAATTCATACCTATTTCCTCTTGCAGAAAGCTTTAGTTGATGAAAGGCCATTCAGAGGTCTGGAATCAACTGAATACATTTATTTAAAAGCAATTTTAAATATTAAAAAAGTAGAAATTAACACATACAGTACTCAAACTGTCACATTAAACACATAAGGAAACAAATGTACTGATGTATGATGATTGTAACATTCAAAGGAGAGTTCAGTATCAACTAGTACTATAAGATCTGTTTTCTTTACATGTATGTCATAAAAAAATAAATAGCAATTGCTGTTCCACAGTAAGATAACACATCATTTCCGGAGCATACTTCCCTCCCTGGGGGAAAAACCCAACACAAGCAGGCTTTCCAAATATATAATGAAATGTACAAAATTGCAGATAGTGGCTCTGAGTTTAAATAGAACCTTGTACTTAAGCTCAACCTATGTATCATACATTGCATCTTAATTATCCTGTGGACTCTAAATCAAATAGTCAGCGCTTGTTCCTGATGGAACTCATTTTATTTAAAAAAATTCATATGCTACTTCAAAAAGCTTACAAAATAATAGACATTTGACTCTACATCATTTTACACATCTTTATATGTTCACTTTTATCTTTTTTTTAAAACCAGTGGACTTTGAGTTTGTCTGAAAATAACACTTGACAAAGGGGATGAGTTTTCTCCTTTAACGCACTGGAAGGACATTTCATCAATAAGCAATATGGAATGCGAAGTCATTTTTGTTCTAGCTTTTATATAAACAGCACAAGTCTGAAAACACTGACATTGGTAGCAGGCTCACTCATTCATTTGTATGCGTATACCTTGGAACGAAATGTGCCGTGACCCGGATGAAGCAATTGTTTGAAAACCACTTTCCAATAAGAGCTGATAAATACTTTGCTTTCTGTCGTGCAAGAGTTCTTAAACTGATTATGTTGTGCATGTTAACCACTCAAAAATAAACACTGAGTTTTGTAAAACGTCCATAGCAAAAGCAACGGGTTAATTGGAACTCGTGCTTTCCTTTTGAGATGGAATTTCAACAGACTGCTCTAGAGGAAATGAAACTTGAGCTACGTTTTAACCAGTTATCTGCCCTGTAAAACTACAAAATGTATAGTAAAACACTAGCCCTCCCCCTTCTCCTCTCAAAAGGGCTTATGTTTTGAAAATGATTAGGAAGAAGTGCTTTGGCCCAGCAGTTCTCAGCTGTTTATCATCCTGTCGTTTGGAGGCTTCCCTGCAAGCCTGTTGAAAAAAAAAAGGAGGTATGGCCACTTTAAGGAATCAGCTCCTTAAAGTGAAAGCGGTGGTACTTTTTTTCAGGGTCTTGCAGAAATCAGAGAAAGTGAAACAACTTAATTGAGTAGCAGAGAGGTGTGGCGATTGTGCAAAGCCTGATGTGTATCAGAAATGAGTATGTCCTTAACTACATTGATTTTTTAAAAAGAATGAGTTGAAGCTGCAGCCATGAAATTTTAGCAGTCTAATAATCGCAGGTCCAAACACGTCCTTCCTAAATTATTAATTTTGTGGCTGCCAGATTCTTGGCCTTGTTCAATTCAGAAAAGCAAAGGTATTTCCAGATGTTCCCGTGGCTTCTCTAACAGCTGCTATTTTTCAGGAAAGGGTATTTTTCAATTGTTTTGCTAACAATTTTGATTTCTCCAGGCAGTAATACAATAGGAGTATTGTGACTTAATATGGCTTCTGTGGAATAAAGGTTGAAATCCCCCAACACCTTAATGAACCGATTAGTTAGCAAACCAATACTCTTATCAGCTGCTATTTCAATTTGGGTGGTAAACAGATTACCACAATGCTGCACTATTTGAAACTGAAAGACAAGCTGACAGATGTCGGTAATGTTCTTGCATAAACAGACTATAAGGAGGAACACGAAGCCATGCAAGTAGGAATGTACTTTATAAAGAGACCCTGGTTCACTGAAAGGAAACCTCCAGCCAGAAGTCTGATGTACTTTTCTTTGCGAGACTGAATAATTTTTATTGTAGACGTTCGGATGGAGTCAAGTGAGGTGAGGACCACAGGAAGAAACTGCAATTACAGAACACAAACATGAAAGGTGGCCTACACACCATAAAAATACTACTGGTTACCTGTAGCTTCAGTGCATATTTCTTTTGTCTGATGGATGGATACACTGGACACATTTTTTTTTCAAACGAATACCAAGGAAGTGGATTTCACAAGCTGTAAACTGTGCACGTTGCTAGTCGTAAACTGCCATCGGCAGTTCCTTTTGACAACTTGGAATAACTCTGCTAGTTATCTACTTCAAGAATACTGACGTATTAGGAATGGTAAATTCTGTACAGCTGAATGGGACTGAATGGGACTAACAGTTTATTCAGAAAGCTGGCAGTTCATACACACAGACAAAAAATTAAGTGCTTGATGCCAGGAATGGCTTGAGCAACCCAGTAAGGCATGCCAGCTCCCACGATGACCATAATACTGGCAATGGCAAAGTAACACCTTCTATTTACAATACAAGTGTAAGCCCCTCATATGGGGAGGAATGAATTCTTGTTCTGTTAACAGCAGTTATATATACATCAATATCCACAATTATGCACAGAATTACAGGGATACAGCAGCAGCAGCTGTTTGCTTCGTGCGAAAAGCCTGACTTGCAGGAACAATGTGCAATACTCAAGTTTCTGAGTTGACTCAGTCTGACAAAATGTGGACGAAGGACACCGGGAAAACCCCTTTCCGTTCTGGCTTTCCTTCAATGTGGCCAATCTGCAAAGAAGAATATTGTGTCAGGCGTAATTTGGTAGGAGGTATTCTTGCAAAGGTTATTCAGATGAAGCTCTCACGACGTGTATTATGCTCTTACTAGCCATATATGCACTGCCTCCTTTTGCATTTTGATATCCGTCAGATAAGTCTTTCTCAACTGCTCCCTTTTATAGGGAAGCAAGTTTAACTGGCATTGGTCTTTCTAGAGATCATTATGAATGCCAACACTGAGACCCTAACTTTCATTCAACTAATATACTTCAGTAAATTGTGTTATGCTTGGCAAGATTATACTAGCAACATATCCATGTCTTGTAATATATCAAAGGGATTCCCAGCATTTTTTCTCTTGGGTTTGCGTGGCGGTAACTACGCAAGCCAAGAACCAACTCTTTCAGAGGTTACTGGCAGGCTTTATGTCCAAATCAACTTTTTCCTTCAAATCAACACTGCTATACATTCAGTCCCTTTCCACCTACTTTCCTTATGAAGAGTCTCGGCTGCTATGGCAGTCGTTGGTTCTGTTACACTAGGATTACATTCTGACTTGTGAACTTGAATTGATTTGAAGACTTTAACATGCGAGCACATCATGTTTTGCCCTACATAAACCACTGAGTTTACAAGGTTTGGCAAGTGTAAACATTACAAATCCTATTAATAATGGGGTTTGTGTCAAAACTACAGGGAGTTCTCACTAAACAACCATTCATTCAGCAACCATTCGGTGCTGAACGAGCGGTAGTTATGACCAGTCCTCGTACTTATGACATTGCAGCATCCTGCAGTCATGTGATTGCCATTTGTGACCTTCATTGGCAGCTTCCTACAAGCAAAGTCAATGGGGAACCAGCAAGAAGTCATAAATGGCGACCACATGTAGTTCTTGCTTAATGGCCCATGGTGATTTGCTTAACAATGGCAACTGAAAGTGCTGGAATTTCTGTGCTAAGCAGCACGGTCATGTGACGGTTGCGTTTTATGACCATGTCACTTAGCGATGGAAATTCCAGTTGCAATTACTGTTGTTAAGGGAAGACTACCCGCATACTGTTATGCATTATACACTCATGTTTATTTAAATCTTAAAGTAGAAAAATACCTACCCACCATTCTTGATCCTCCTCTCCTGTTACAATAATAATTTCACCTTCAACAAATGTAAGCTCATCATCATTATCTGCTTGGCAATCATAGATTGTCTTCACCCTCCTAACTTTATTCTTCCCCTGAACAAAAAACAAGCAAGTACCATTTTAGCTAAGACAGAAAAAATCATTGTTATTCTTTAGGTTGCTAATTATAAAACCAATGAACCTATTCAGACGTGGTCAGAAAATCTAGGACAGATTTTTCTGCCATGGGCACAAGGCCAGTCCGTTTGTGAGTGTGGAGCTGGCAAAATCTTTCCACCTGATGATGCGACTTTCTCTTATGGAACAAGGATAACACTTAATGATCCCTGTTTTACAGATCATCTCCAAATGCAAATAAGATTTATTGCTCTAAAAGGCACTACCTTTTATAGATACAATTTATCACATGCAGGTGTATTTTTTAAATGTTGAATTCAGACAAATGCCAATAATTGTATTAAACTAATCTGCAAACCTGTGCTTGTAGATATACAAACTAGAGAATAATTAGTCCTGCTAAGCATCTGCTTGCCTGTTTGTTTCCAGATTACTAACATTTCGATTCCACTCTACTGTCAACAACTCATTTAATGATGGACGCTCAGGACAGTGAAAAATGCACAGTTGTTCCAAAAGTAAGTGCCCATTCACACAGAACATAATCAGTCCTGGCAATAGTTTTCTTGCCATTCCCACTGGCAGTTCACAACATATAGCAGCAATGGAGCAGCACAGGATGGTGGAATCTGTTGGAGTTGGCTAGACTTCGCTGCGGAGGTACAACAGCACGAGGCCCCCCAAATTGCTCGACAGCTGTCACCAAATGTGACAGTAGGGAAAAATGTATTAAAGGCATCGGGAGTAATCATATTAATGGATTTGTTAATTGAAATATCTTCTTTTCATTTTAATTCACAGTAAAAGTAAATTAAGCCACATTTCATTTTTGTTTTTGTTCTGGCCCTTCTCAAGCTCCATAAACCAAGCCCATCCTCAGACAAATAAAAAAACGGCACCCCTGCTTAACAAAAGAGAGGCAGCAGGTCAACTGGCTTCCATCTTCAGCCATTTACCGTGTCATGAGCTTTAGTTTTTTTCAGATAGCTTGCCAAGTAAGTAATTTTTTTTCTTACGGGGATTCAGCAAAGTCTGTGTCTGGCTACTTCTGAGAATGCAGTAATTTCAGTTGGCTTTCCTTAGATCAGGAAAGTCAGATTTATATCTTGTCTTCCTTTGGGGAGATTCCCATCTCCCCCAGAACAACCACACCGTGAGGTAGGTTGGCCTATGAGAGAGTGATTGGCCAAAGACACCTGATGACCTCCCATGGCTGAAGACACATTTGAATCCAGGTCCCCCCACTGCCACTCCAACTCGCAACATGGTGTTTTGATGAGCACTTCAGTCTGAGAATGTCACTCTTGTCACCTGTTATCTTCACCCTGGAGTAGTCAAACTTATTAAGATGAAGCAGTAGCTTGTCTTTAAATCTCAGTTTAAACCTGCTCTGAGTGGGTAATCATTATCTCAATCTCAGCATGGCAGCTATAAAATAGGAATCATGATCTTGGCTCATTTCATAGTATCAGGGAAAGCAACATACATGAAACACTTTATGTGCTCAGTAAAAATGCAGTGTAAGTAATGATGATGTACTGATTCCACTGCTTTTGAAATTCTTCATTCAATATGAAAGCACGAACTTCCAGAGTTAAGCATTTTGATTTCAGAGCAGAATGCCATGTAATGTTTTCTCCCTTCCAGTTTAATCCTACAATAGCCTCATGGAAGGTCCTCTTTTCCAACAGCCAACTCTAAGCAGGTTCATCTCCATTATACAGCGGTCCTACAACAGTGCACGCAACATCAAAACAGAAACTATCTACTTACCATGTTTATTTTTCTAGGAAGTGGCACAGGGGTTTCTGCTGATCCAGGAGTTGTATCTCCAGAATCTTCAGAGGCTTGTTTCTGGACAATCTCTTTTGACTGTATCTTTGGGGAAAGATCCACGTTAGGTGATTTCTGATTGGCCTCTGAGGGCTGAAGCCTGGGAGATGTTTCCCCACCAGGAGTTTTTGCCAAAGTTTCTCCTAGTTGTGGCTTTGGAGGAAGATCCTTCATTTGGGGTTTTGGAGGTAAGTCTGCAAGTTGTGGTTTTGGAGGCAGATCCCCCAATTGGGGTTTGGGGGGTAATTCTCCTGGTTTGGGGGGTAAATCTGCAGGTTGGGGCTTCTGGGGCAGATCAATACAAAGAGAGGCCGACTTCTGAAAGATTTCAGAATGGTGACTGGATTTGTCTACTGAGGGAAGATGAATTGTTTCTATTTTTCTTAATGCCACTGAAACAGAAAGCAAACACAGTGAGATAATTTCAAATAAAACCTATTTCCTTTCCTTCCTATTTTCTTTTTAAAAAATGCCACCCATCCCCATTACAATTTTATGACAACCACTTGTATTCTGTGCTCTTTTGAGACTTTCTTAGATTTATATTGAGACCTACCGACAGCAAAAGAAGAAAAGATAAGCGTGCAGTCTCAAAAGCCCAAACACAATGAATACAGGGGGGAAAACAACATGTTGTTCTTTCATTTAACCTTTCTTTTTCTACAGCATAATGCTTTATTATTATTTTTTTCTTGCACAGGTATATAAAAAGAGAGAAAAGCGTTACCACAAAATATAAAACAATTTAACAAAACAGAAAAACATGGAAGAAAAAGGAAATAGTAAAAAGAACATTCTAAAATGGATCTTTAGCAGCAACCCTGTTTTAAATAACAGATTAAGCCTTGATCACATGAAGCATTTAGCCTCTCAATTAAGAGGTGTAAAGAGAATTTAAGGCAAAATTCTACTGGTTACATTCCTACCTACTGGCTCTTAAAGTAGTCAAATTTTGGGGAGTAGCTTCCAAGAATGTTTATTTCAAACAATCTTTCAATGCAATTCTGCATATATATATATATATCAAAGGCAGACTTTGATCTGGTTAGTCATTTGTAGACTAACCTAAACTATCCTAGCTTAGATAGTCCAGGGGATTCTTTGAAGTGAAAGCTATTTTGCACAGTACATGCTCACATACAACCCCCCTTGAGTCAACCTTGACAGTTTTCTTAATAATAATAGAGTTTCTTTCATGGTAATTTTTTTCTCAACTTCCTCATCTAATTTACAGCCCTGGGATATTCTTGTGGCTTCCCATCCAAAGACTAACCATGTCTGACCCCGCTTAGGTTTTTTCCTGATCAGCCTTACCTTTTTGAGGTAGTTTCGGAAGCACTCTGGGGCCTAGGGCAGTTTTAGCAGTCCCGGTGCTGATGAACAGATACACAAGAGATTACAACTCTATAATAAAAGATCCAAATGCCTCGTATTTAGAGTACAGGCATCAACCAGCATTGCCAACATAAACATTTTCAGACTGAAAATCTTACAATGGCATTGACTGTGGGCTTGCCTTGTTCACGTTGAAAGCTGTACAGGAGTTGATGATAATGATCTGTCTGTATTTTAGTTTTTAAAAAGGTGTAATCAAAGATGTATATGCAATCATATACCTTGGCCTGGTTCAAATAAGCTGAATTAAACTGAACAAGAAACATCAGGTGGAAGACGCCACCATTATGGTGCTCTTCTGAAAGCGCTTCAGCTCACAAATGTAGACTCTATCCAATTACACGTATTATCAAGAGTTCAAAATTCAAGAATGCCAGTATCCAGTAACTATTTTATGAACCTCTATTATCCCAAAAGTAACTGCCACTCTGCATCTTTTGCAATTTATTTATTAAAATGTTCAGCCACCTATCAACAATACATCAGGTCACAATGAGTATTGTATGAAAAATGCAATATAAGTAATATATGGAAGAGATGTACCTAAAAGTACATTATTAACATACAGTGCAAAACAAAACAGCATAAAAAATAACTTGGCAAGCATTAAGAACTACAGCAGTAGGTGGGTCTTTCTGGGGAAGGTGGTCCAAAAAATTGAGTACCACCTCTGAAAAGGTCTACCCCCTTGTTTCATTGGGTGGGGGAATCTGGAGAAAGGCCTCTGGGGAAGATCTTAGTGACTGGATAAGAAAATATGGGACAATGCACTCCTTTGGATAACTGGGCACAAGTTGTTTAGGACTTTATAGATTAATACCTGCATTCTGAGACCCAGAATCACTGATCGCAAAGCATTGGCATAATCTATTGCATCAATTAACCTAATAGTCTAGCTGCTCTCCAAACCATTTTCAAGAACAACCTATGTAAAATGCACCACAGTCTTCCAAAGGGAAGATATCCAGAGAACAACCCATGTAGGATCACTGCTAGTATATCAGCTTCAGCCTGGGGAAAGGCACCCCAAGCTCCTGAGGCCAGAAGTACCCAAGCTATACACCTGATCCTTGAGAGGAAGGACAACTCCTCCAGGACAGGGTAGCTGCTATTTAACTGAGAAGATAGTCACAACTAGCATCTGTGCCTTGTTTGGATCAGTTTTTTAGTCCTCATCTGGACCATTAATCTACTTAGACGCTGGCCTGAACACTGTCACCCTTGTATTAGAAAGATCATCCATCCATCCATCCATCCATCCTACATGCAATTTATGCATTCATTTATGCAATTTATTTACTTCAATCCTCAAGGTCTCCAAGCAGTTTACAGATATTAAAATAGCAATACAACTAAACACATTTTAAAACTTCAATAATAAAATTATAACAAGTGATTTCAAGTAATCAAAAAATATTCACACATATATGTGGGTGCACATATACAAACGTGCACATTTGCACCTGGGACTCTACTGTCAAAAAAGCCGTTTTTACTAGCTTCTGGAAGGCCATGAGAGTGGGGGTCATCCTTGCTTTAAGATCCAAGCTGTTCCATAGGGCAGCTGCCACTGAGAAGCACTGATGGAACTTCAGCCCTTATAGCAAGATAACTTCCCTGGTGGTTCCATGTAGAGGTTAAAAAGCACAGAAAATAAAGCTGAGCTTGGGGGAATACCATAATATAATGGCCACAAAGCAGAGCAGTAATCCCTAGCATTCCCTTGGCCATCCAGGGAGTAGAGCCATTGGTCCCCCCACATCCCTGCTCTAGAGGGATAAAGCTGCTGGAAGACCCACTGGATTAGGACTGGAAAGACCCAACTTCAGCCACAGAAATTCCCTGGGTGACTTTGGGCCACTCATTCTCTTCTCAGCCCAGCCTACCTCATAGGTTTACTGGAATAAAAGGAAGAGAGATCTCTACCTGCCTTGAATCCTGAAGATACAGGCAAATCACAATGTGACAAGCTTGTATCTATTCCAAGCCAGGCCGGGATTGAAATGGCTCTCAAAATCAGTTCCATCCAAGAGATTTTAGAGCTGATTAGCAACTCATCCAGGAAGAAAGTGCTAGCTACTGGTCAAGAATTGTTTTACTTCTTGATCCAGGTTACAGTGCTTCTGAAGTGGCCTGATCACTGTCTCTTTTATAGAGTGCCTTCCTCACAGAGGAATTCAGAACCTCCTAGACCCAGCCAGGCACCCATTCTCTAACAGGGGGAGTACACCAAGATGATCATGCAAGCGGTGGGGCACACATGGCCCAAGTGGGGATAGGGTCTCTCGTATGCAAGCTGACCAAGTTAGACCGCTACCAGATATGGATTCAGCCGTCTCCAACGAAGGCAAGCAAGTTCTGCTAGAGCGATGAGGCAGCTCTTACTGAGAAGAAACCCTGCCATGGGGCCTGTCCTCAGCAATGGAAAGGGGAGTTGCCAGCACTTGAGGCAGACAAGGTCACACAATAGGAGCAGCCAGGATTTTAGGAATGCTCTTTATTGTTGTAGGGCATAATAACCCAATCGTGAAAGCTTCCTTCTTCTCCATTTTATACCAAGCAAAATCAAGGCAGGTTTGTTTTGAGTTTCTTTCTCATGCTTGCTTCTTTCCCAGAACCAGGTGATCTTTTCTGAAACTCCTTCCTTAATGGTTCATTCATCCCTTTCCCATATCCAGGGCCAGGCTTGTATGCCATCACAGGAAGAGAGGTAGCAAATTCAACTCCTACCTTGCCTTCTCCAGCCATTTCAATTTCCTTTGGCTTTACTCACTGTTAACTATCTCCCCTGGCCCCCAATTATGGATACTCCAATACGTACTCTAAAATACTCCATTCCTAGAATTACAGTCCTTTCATCCAATGCAGTGTTAGTCCACAAAATCCTTGTACTATTAAAGTCCCTTCATCTATTGCAGCATTTTCCAGTCCACAAAATCTGTGTGCCATGATATTTTCTCCTTTAATATGCTGTGAGACTCTTTGCTCTTTTTCCAGAAGCAGACTAAAATAGTTACATACAACCATGCATCCAGAGTTATATGAGGCAAGATCAATGCGCAGCAGAGTTTTCTGAGCATTCCCCTTTTGATGACACTTGTACCCCTAAAAGCTTCTCTGGAAAGGGCCCACAACAGCAGTATTTCAGTATTTGAATTTACTAAATCAGCATCCTCACAGCCATTTAGTGGTTAACTTTGTCAACTGAAAGCATTGCAAGCAACAACTCAGAAAAAATAATGCACATCTGGAGGAGCGCAAGGTACTCCAAGTTTGCTTGACATTGCGTAAGAGCCAAGAATGTATAAAAGCAAAACCTGCAATTGTTGCCAGAAGTATTTGGAGGTATACTTGAAGGTGCAGAGTACAGAAAAGAATAAAGGAGAGTGAGGGCTCACATTATATTTATCACATTAATTCCCAGCTCAAAATAGTGAGAAACAGTTTTTAGCACTTTTTTAGAGGTTAGCAACAATGGGTCTCAGAGGGTGTCTGAGATGGCAGGTTGCCTACCCTTGTATTTTGGGACTATTATAACACTTGACATTTCAGAATAGCAGTAGGCAAGAGCAAAAGATTGTTTTTAATCAAGAGAATTGTGTTCAAAGGATGATGTGATGGTTGTTGATTCTGATCATTCTTATTATTAATATTCTTCTTAATAGAATTGAGAGTAGTCTGAATGGCCTAAGAAACAAGAGAAAATTAGCCAGCCCTGTTTCTACCCAGAAGAGAGGGACCTCACCCTTTCCTGACATCAACAGCATCTGTATTCTCTCACCACTTTCATCATAATAATGAAAGCACAACATTGCAGCTTTGAGGCATGTGTGTGAAGCTGCAATGGACGTAGCAAAAGGGTCAGGCTTGTTTCACAACACTGTGAGGCTGCTTGCTTCACTCCAATCCTGCTTGTCCCCCATAGATACCACTGCCTGTCAGCTCCATCCTCCAGGAGCAAGAATTTGTGATGGCAAAAAGTAGATAATCATTTTTACTTTTGAATATTACTCAAAAATAGAAATGATCACTATGCTGATGTGGTAAAAAAATGACTCAATTAAGGAGAAGGAAAACAGAGATGAAATATTTTTCTGATACTAGCAAAAGGAGAAGCTAAGAAAAAGGGGATATGAATGAGTAACATCAACGTATAAATATCTTACCCTGACTGTTGAGACATCCCCTCAAACTTATTTGCTGTTTTTGTGGCCGGTGGACCCAAATCATTACCTAAAAGCGAAAATATTGAACATTAAAAATTTTAAAAGTAGCAGTCATGAACTTAAATAAATAGAAATCATAACAGAAGTTGTATAAAGATTTGGACCTATATTTTTATATATAATGATTTAAGCCAAAGGAGCACTACTTTTTGACAAGTTAATTTGAGAAAATAAAAATCAGTCTGCTAATGAGGAAAGAATATTTAAAATGAAACACTCATTCAAGCTAACGTCAAACTCAATTTCATCTCCACCATTCAATATCGACTGCATCTCAATGTCTACAAAGGAAGCAGTGCAGATCAACCCAGCCTATATGGGTGTGAGCGTACATTGTTTGTGGCTAAGATGCTAGGCTGGACGTTGAAAAAGTATCAGAACTTGACCTGACACTTCTTTTGCTTTCAACTTTGTCACAATTTCATCCAGATATGGAAATCATTATTTCTGTAAGGGTGGATGGATAGATATTTTAAAAAGTATTAGAAAATACTCTTGGGTACTATACTGTGGCACACTCACATTGTTTTATGAGAACTTGCAATTCAAAGTATCATCCGTTTTTACTGCAGATCTTCAGAAGTACTAATTAACAAGGCTGCATAGTGACCCGGATTTGAGGGGAAAACCCTAGCAGACCTTGAACCTATTGGCAACTCCTTCAATCAAATGTGCCTCTCCTGGGATCACACAGCTCCAAATCACCTTCTATTTACAAAGTCTTTATTTCTGTTACCAAAATTGCTGCAAGCAACACATTCAAACTTTCAGAGAGAAAATGTATTTGATTCTAACTGATACATTTAAAACTGGCTGGGGGATGCCTAGAACTCCAAAGCAAACCTTCTCTGTGTTTTATTTTATTTATTCATAGGCTGCTCAACTCCAGTGGACTCTGGAGTTAGCCTTGGATGCTATAAATAAAAGTGATTTTGGAGGCAAATTATTCAGAAGTGTTAGAAATGTGAACCATGCTCCCTGCTTCCCAACCTGATTTAGGCTGTCTAAAATTGTAACCCCTTCCTAAATCAATGCTTTCATAATCTGGAAAACCAAGAGTGGAAACCAGAATGGGAAGAACTCAAGAGGTTCAGACCAGCCAAAAAGCATGGAAGTCCAGGCAGAAGAGATAGTAGAGGACAACAGAGAGAGATGAGATGGACAGCTATATAAATATGATGTATAAAGAAAGAAAGAAAATGCCCTTAGCAGTTATAAAATTGACAAGAAAGCTGAATACTCCAGAATATTAGAGATAGAAAAGATATACAGCGGTGCTTAAAAGTTTATGAACCATTTTGGATTTTCAATATTTCTGCATAAATATGACCTAAAACATGATCTGTTCTCCACACAGATGGAGAACTCACTTATACAAATAAGTCAAAAATATTATACTTGTTCATTTATTTATTGAGGAAAACTATCTAAAGCTACATATTTGTGTGGAGCAAAAATATGTGAAATTTTGCTTTCAATAACTGATGCGTCCTCCTTGGACAGCAATTACTGCAACTAAATGTTTTTGGTAACTGTTGATCAGTCCCACACATTGGCTTGGAGGAATTTTAGCCCATTCCTCCTCACAGGACAGTTTCAACTCAGGGATGTTGGTGGGCTTCCTTGCATGAACTGCCTGCTTCAGGTCCTTCCACAACCTTCTACAAGATTAAGCTCAGGACTTTAACTTGGCCATTCAGAAACATTAACTTCCATCTGCTTTAACCATCCTTTGTTCATAAAATGTGTTTTGGGTCACTGTTTTGCTGCATGACCCACTTTCTCTTCTTCTTTTTCCAATAATTTTATTAAGATTTTAAAAAGAACAATAAAAGATAATACAAAGTAAAAGGAAAAAGGAAAAAAGCCCTCCTTTTAAGAAAGCAACTTCCCACCCTCATCGTGACAAATAATGAACAATTTCATAATTTCTTCACCCCTCTTAAGAAATATAAAACTCTTCATCCCATATCCCATCTCTTAGTAATAAACAAATCAAATAAGTAATGTCTTCTCTTTATCCAACTGTCAGCAAAAAGCCCACAACCCACTTTCTTTTGAGCTTCAGTTCACAGATACCCTGACATTTTCTTGTAGAATTTGATGGTATAATTCAGAATTCATAGTTCCATCAATGATGGCAAACCACCCTGCTCCAAGGGAGCAAAGGAGGTCCAAACCACAATACCGCCACTACGTTTCACAGATGCAATAAGGTTCTTATGCTGGAATGCAGTGCTTGCTTTTCGCCAAACGTAACACTTTTCATTCAAGCCAAAAAGTTCTATTTTGGCCTCATCCATCCAGAGAACATTCTTCCAATAGCCTTTTGGCTTATCCACATGGTCTTTCGCAAACTACAGACAGGCAGTTATGTTCTTTTTGGAGAGTGGTGGCTTTCTCCTTGCGAGCCTGCCATGCACACCATTGTTGTTCAATGTTCTCTTGAGGGTGGTGTCATGAACACTGAAATTTGCCAGTGCAAGAGAGGCCTTTAGTTCCTTTGATGTTACCATGGGCTTCTTTGAGACCTCCTGGAGTATTACATGCCTTGCTCTTGGTGTGATCTTGGTTGGTCAACCACTACTGGGGAAGGTAACAATGGTGTTGAATTGCCTCCATCTGTACACGATCTGTCTGATGGTGGACTGGTGGAGTCCAAACTCTTTGGAAACAGTTTGGTAATCTTTTCCAGCCTGGTGAGCATCTGTTCTGTTCTTTAAATAAGGCAGGACCTCCCACACTCCTCACACCTGATTATCATCCCATTGATTAAAATCCCTGACTCTAATTTTCCCTACAAATGAACTGGTAATCCTAGAGGTTCACATATTTTTGCCACACACAAATACGTAGCTTTGGATCATGTTCCTCAAAAAATAAATGAACAAGTATAATGGTTTTGACTCATCTGTTTAATTGTGTTCTCTTTACCTAGTTTTAGGACTTGTGTGGAGAACAGATCACATTTTGGGTCATATTTATGCAGAAATATTGAACATTCAAAAGAGTTTACAAACTTTTAAGCACCCCTGTGCATCTTTCCTATCTCTAATATTCTGGAGTATTCAGCTTTGTCAACTTTTATAACTGCTAAGGGCATTTTCTTTAAGAATCTCTCTACTAGCTCTCCTGCCTGGACTTCCATGTATTTTGGCTGGTCTGAACTTCTGAGTTCTTCCCATTCTGGTTTCCACTCTTGGTTTTCCAGATTACAAAAGCACGGATTTAATTCACAAGGGTTCACAAACTTTTAAGCACCACTGTAGAAGGTGTTGAAACTCATCTTTCTTTGTGAAGACAAGACAAAATAAAAGTTCTACTTTGTTCTAGCCTAAGAATGAAAAAATGTCTCCTAGCTATTTGTACATATCAACTAAAAGCAGATTTTCCTTTTTCTTGACTTTGACAAGTGTTTTACAGGAGACTCCAAGTGTGTTTACAGACAGGAAATTTTATTAAGGCTTTTTGGATAATCTGGGCCTTGCCAATAACTTTTATTCAATAAAAGAACTGGAAACCTCTTTGTTATTAAATGCTGGCATTCCTCCCTGGGTTCAAAATAGACTGTATCATACAGTGCAGAATCAAGGAACTTCTATCTGTTGAAGGCAAACTTTCTATGCACTGGAGTGGAAGAGTTAATCTCAGCACCAGCCTCTTCTTCCCTCCCGTTTTATGCCAAACACTCACTTTTTTCTTCTTCCCCAATAGACACAGTCCTCTTTTCAGGAACCTGATCACTAGTACAGGATGGTTGAAATTATTCTGAGAACTGTATGGAATTAGACCCAGGTGGTTCAAACATAGCATGGTTAAAAGTTTGATGTTATTTGCTTTCTTAAATCTTGGATGGGGAAATCCTATGGCTATAAGGTTAGATTGGGCAGTATAAAAAAAAAGAAGAAAGCAAAAGTTAAACGTTTTCCAGAAGTAGACAGCAGCAGCAGCAAACTATTTCCATATTGTTCTCAAGAAAACTACACAGATGTGTCCAGGAGTCATCCTCAATTTGAGGAAGATTCTGCCTTTAAAAGCATTCAAAACTGCATGCTTGCTAAACAAACTGAAGCACTTTGTTCCTCTCCAAATATTTCTAAGTAGATATAAAATTAGATGTTCTGAGGTAATACATATTTGCCCATATTCAATGAAAATGCCACTTAAAATTCAAAACACACACAAAAAATTACAAACAATTGAGATAATTAAAACAGACAACGTACAGGTGATCTCATTCATCACATGAAACCTGCTGATGTACTAACACCCAAAACAATCCACCATACAATATCTGAGTGTGCCACTCTGCCCCTCAAATGTCACTGTTCCTACAGACTCAGAAGCTGTGCTACAGTTTATGGTTAATTTTATTTCTGATCTTCTGCAATTTGATTATGCTCAAGCTACTTTATATACCTTGGTGGCAAAACAATATATAAATCAACAGATTCCAGTATTAGCTGCTTCTGGGCTTCAGGGAAGAGCTGCATTCTATATAAATCTAGAAATATATCTGGCTATCTTTAAATGTCATCTGCACTGATGTATAAGACAGTTGAATATGTAGCAACTGCTGATAACCTTATAGAGAGATCATTTTGATTTATAAGCTGATATAAAAATCACTCATATACAGCTCCCACTGATTAGAAATTTCAACCTTCACTCTGTTTTGAAGCAATGTTCCATTTCTATTAATCTTCAATGGTCCTTTAGACACACTTTTTCTAAATGTTGGACACAAATCAAATGCTAGAGTTTTTCAGTTTACTAATCTTTCTGTCATTGGACTCAGAACTGTCACTATGGAATATTCAGTTCAAACAAATCCTTAGACCTTTTTTAGAGCTAAAATTAAAAACAGATAACCTGATGCACAGAATTATCATAACTTAATCAAGGAAAAGTTTAAGGCCTCTGAAACATTCTTGGCCACTATAGCAGAAAACATGCTGTTTTCTTTATCTTGTTTTAGCAAATATAAATGTCAGAATTTGTAAAATGCTAACTTAAGTCATTTTCAGCAGAACACAAAATTAATGTGTTAGAGTAAGGCCAACAGTTTGATGCCAGTAGCTTCAGAAGGTTTCCTAGGATGCTTCAAAACGTATTGCACTGCCTTTTCTACCAACAGAAAATACATACTGATCCAAAGAGAGTTGCTGTTAGAAACTCCGCTGCTTTACAAGGATGTTACAAATTTCCATCTATCACAGGTTTCAGAATAACAATGGGCTTTTGTTAAGATTTTGGAATAACTCTAAAATATCAGCAGGAGCGTCTAATTTGTAATCACAGTCCCAGAGTCATACCCGACCATGGTTGGTGCTAATGTTGCAGAGAATTGCAACTATGGCTTGAGCTTTCAAAGGTTAGGCATGTTTACCTGCTCCATTTTGCCTCTGTTCTATACTCCTCCGGACACGCAGTAACGTTAAGGTTTGTCAGTTCAGACATCGCACCAAGCAACAGCAGAAATCATACTTCCCAAAGTTCAAACCATCACAGGACACCACTTAGGGTTAGGACACCATAATATTAACCCACAAACTGGCGATGTTAATCTCCCACTTAATGAGGGTTCCTTCATCATGGTTTGATGGGGCATTGAAACTAAGCCAGTATGAATATTATTATTTCGCGTTGCAAAACTCACCCCAAGACATTTGGCCCTTATTCTGGGGCCCATGAGGTAGTGGGCTGGGTGGGTCTGATAGGGTTCTTTTGTGTCCAGGGGGAGGGGGAGGGGGCCTCTTCTTAGACAGAGTGGAGCTGCCACTAGAGGCTGGAGTGCTTAATGGGAGGGTTGAAGGAGGGCCCGATGGACCTGTGGAAATAAACAAATATCTTCTTATCAACACAAAGATGGGTTAACACAATACAGCACAAAAGAAACTCAAAATTAGACAACAGGAAAATACAGCAAAGGGCTGGGAGCGGGGAGACAACAACTGGCCATTCCAAACAGTGGAAGCTTAGCAAAATTGCTCTCCTATTATAAGCGTTTCCAGCAATTACTGTGATTAGAAAAGCAGATATATGCATATACACACAAACACTGAAACAGTTTCAGAGAGAAGTGACCACAAAGAAATTTAAGATATGATTAAGATGCAGAAAGGGATGCTTACATAAAGCACCAAGTAGACCCACTGAAATCAATGGCCTTATTTTGTTAGACTTAAATCCATGATTTCAGTGGATCTACTGTAACCATAACTGGGTTCAGTATTTAAATATTTATACATTTAAAAATACAAATATTAAACAAAAATAACACCTCTGGCCTGAACGTTAAGTTTCTGTAATAGAGCTAATACAAAGAGTATACTGTTTAAATGGTGATATGTCCCACAAAAAATAATCTCTACTATATTGGACCTTATCCTTATTAATAGGATAAGTTAGTTACTACCTTAAATCCCGTTCATTCCAGTTGGTCTATAATACATACTGTATGATTAAGTCCAGATGTGACCCACTGTTTACCAATAAAAACATTCATCAACATTAGTATTAGTAAATCTAAGTAATAATTTTACTTATTATTTTAAATTTTAAATCTAAAAGTATGGCATAACAGCCGAAAGTACAGTTTTAATGTAGTAAAAGTCCCAAGTTCAAATCACCAGCAAGCCAAGGAAAATCTTGCAGGCCATGGAAAAGCCTCTTAGCCATCTGGGAATAATAATATTCATCACAGCCACGTGCAGAATTCAGAAGTGGTGCTTCAGAAAATACGTTACAACTGCTGTGCCCTTGCACTACTAGTTGTCAAAGTTAGACAACCGGACTAGTTGTCTGTGCGTGCATAAATAGACAACATGTCTGTTGGGGCCCATTACCATCTAACCAATTAAAAATGACTACTCCTGGCTATGTGTTTATCTAAGTTGAATTTGATTTGAATTGAACCACGTATCTCTAACAGAAGGATTTAGCAAGGGCTAGCCTTGAAATAGCTTCGTTGTAACACTGTTATATCTGATGTTTGTTTTCATATTAGTTTCATAGTATTTATATTTTTCCTTTAACTCATTATCTCCTCTAGAAAATAACTGGCTGTAGGATTATAAGCAACTACATTAATGGAATAGATTAAATCAAACTATTTATTCTATGATGGTGTACACACTAAGAAGAACACAAAAATAATGCATACATCTCCCTTAATTCTACTAAGCTGAATTACCATCCTGAAAAAGAAGTACAAGTCAGATCAGGCAAGAATGTTTTGTTAATCACAAAACCCAAGTTTGTTCAAATCGTAACTTAAACCATTTTATTTAAACGAGACAATGTATACCACCTGAATTGCAGAACAATTAAATTGGATTAAATTTGTATCCATTGGTATCTTATCTCAAGAGAGATCATTTATCAATGGACATGCAAAGGGTTTCCCAACTCTTTTAGGTGTCTGTCATAGTTGGAGATGGCCATAGTTGACCGTATGTAGACACTTCCCATCAGGGCCACCAAACACCATAAAGAGAGACAGTTCATTAATGGGAAGGATGGAAGCTATGGGTTTGAACCACCATGGGTATCACGTGCAAAGGCAATCAGCATTTTCTTCTGACTTTGTTCTTGTTTGCAATAAAGATTCATTTAGGCAAAATGTGTCTGCAAAAGTTCTTTGAACCCAAGCCTAGGATTCAAGCTTGCTGGGTAAAGTTAAGAGGCTCCTGATGTACTGTTGAGTCCAGATCAGGGATGCTTGGTGTCATCTATCAATTTTATTTTCTAAGAATGCTTTCAGGTTAGACTTGGGGCCTAGGAATATTATTTAAAATAAACATTTCTGAAGATGGTGTTTTGCTTTGCAACATACTAGCTTCCCGTTTAATTAAGTTTAAAATTTACAAGATGATGGTACATTTTAACTTTCCCTTAATTTCTGATAAAGACTGTTACAAGGATCCTTACCTCCTATAATAAATAAAATTCTGCCCTTCCTCACAAAATAATGATTTGCTACTTTTCATTATTAAGCAATGGATTTGATAAGAAACGTTAGCAGGCAATGCTATGGACCAGATTTTTCTGTACCATTTATCTTGAGATATTATCTAAATTTTTCCACTCTTTAGCAATAATTAATTTGGCTGTTAAAATTTTATTTTAATTTTTTTTTAAATTACATTTTTTTGTTCTGCTATCAAATATATGTAATAAACCTAACTTTGGAAAAAAAAGACTCAGTCTTCTGTTTAATTATATGTGAAATCTCATTAAAAACTTTCTTCCAAAAAATCTGGAATGTTATCATATTTGTGCCAAATGTGGGGTCCCAAAGATAGAAGACATAACACATACGTTATTTGAATGTCAATTGTATAAGAAAGAGAGAGATCAATATATTGGACTGCGTATTAGATGAACAGCCTATTGGGATCCTTACATTAAGACAGCGTATTTCATGTGTGGTCAGAATCCAAAAATTACATATAATACAGCCCTTCACTTGAACAAAGCAGTAAACTGAGAATGGCATATGTGGATCTGATTGGGGTAAATTGTAGGAGTGACACGGAAATATGGTTTGCATTTTCTTTTACTTATTTCTTTTATTCTACTTTTAACATATGGTCTCATTACGGTTCTTTGTTTTATATCTTGTATTCTGATATGGCCTAATGGCTAATCAATAAAGCATTACTATTACTACGTTTGTGCCAAAGATCAGAGAATGTTCCCTTCAGCTTACAGCCTTAGCAATGGTTTGCTGAATGTTTTCAAGCTACATCTGAGATTCTTATCAGAGCCACTGATGTTAAGGCACACTTCCTATCTTGATAGAAGTCTGTAGGGCAGCCTACAGGATTGTTGAGTATTATCTTACGATGTTTTCCCCTAAATCTAGATCCCAAGATTCTCTGAACTCTATGGTAGATTCATCAAAATCTATTTCAAATAAAAGCGGATATATTTCTGCAGTTATACCTTTAGTTGCTATAAAAAAGATTAATTTTCCAGAATTAAATTGATGTCCATTCTATTTTCATTCTCCAACATTTTAAAATTTCATAATATTGAACTGATCTGACACCACAAAAACCATGACACTCTATGTCCTAATTGTGGTTCACTTTGCTCTACACTGTAAGTATTGAGTTTTTATCAAAATCATTTATTTCATAAAGGCCTTTGTTCCTCGGGGGGGAAAATACATTTGTAAAATAAATTCTGTAGCGCGGGGGTCTGTGCTGAACTTGGCATCTTTTAGGCACAATGGCATTCAGATATCACACTGAAGACTCAGAAGCTATGTATTTACAGATAACTAACCATAAAATGTATAATTGAACATTTCTTTTTAATGCTAAGTGATAGGTAGCCCAATCTGATGCTACCATTCTCCTGTTAAGCCCAACAAAGACCAACAAGATTTCCTCTGAAAAGAATTTATACTTTAAAGCCTTAAAATGTTTCCTTTACTTGAAGTATTAACATTATAGTTGCTTTTTAACAAGCTGTTCAGTGACAAATTTGGCATATAAAATAAAAATAAATAAATAAATTATATTGATTGACATTTTAATGTTATTTGCCATATTCAGGCAATCGTGCACCCATTTTGTAGGTAAGTACATAGGGAACTAAGAAACCATATTTCTCTAGAGCAGTGTTTCTCAACCTTGGCTGGCTGGGGAATTCTGGGAGTTGAAGTCCACCCATCTTAAAGATGCCAAGGTTGAGAAACATTACTCTAGAATACCATGAACTAGAGTAAAGCTTGGAAGATAATTGGTAGTATAGATAAACTATTTTCCTGCTTTAAAACCAGTTGAAAAAGGATATTGTTATGGAGCATGTTCTGAGAATTAACCACCAATAAAATCTAGGGGTGAAGGCACCAGGCTAGAAAGCAGGAGACGGTGAGTTCTAGTCCCACCTTAGGAATGAAAGTCGGTTGGGTGACCTTGGGCCAGTCCCTCTCTCTCAGCCCAACCCACCTCACAGGGTGGTTGCGGTGGGGAAAATAGGAGGAGGAAGGAGTATTAGGTATGTTCGCCACCTTAGTTATTTGTAAAAATAATAAAGGTGGGATAAAAAAATAAAACACTTTAGAAATACAAATTCCATTGTTCACATTTCACAATGTGGTTTGTTGGATCTGGCTTAGCATACTGTTTACTGTGTATACAGTACAGTATACTGTGTATACTGTACACAGTATACTGTAGTGTGTATACCATACTGTGGTTTGTTTGGATCTGGCTTAGCGTACTGCAATCCTGGTTGTACTGCAAATTTCGTGTGTAACACTGCGGATGCTTCACATATGCTCTTCGCTGGTGACGCTGTAGGCAAAATTCAGCATATGTGAAATGCTTTCAAAACTGGTGAAATCTTTCCCCTTTACCAAGAAAGTTGTGGAGCAAAAACACACTCCCAAAGAATGTTGTAACTTGTCACAAAGTTTACATGACATAATATTATTCTATCTTTCTGTAGGAAAAAAGAATGGGATGACTTGATCTGCTACCTGTTCATTATACAATTAATAGGGATGTACAAAACCAGCTGTTTTGGGGTGATCTATGCCCAAAACATGTATTTCAGATATTCTGGTCCACGTAGGGAAGAAAACGTGGTTGTTTTGTTCCAGATACCAGCAAAACCTGGTTGTTGTGAGGGAACATGTTGGGAGGATCAGGAGGGTGGGCAGGCCAGTACACAGCCATGTAGAGAAGAGAAGAAACCAAGCCATGTGCGCCATCCTTGCCTACTCACCCGAGATAATTATTCCAGGATCCCTGTGTGTTTCATTCTAACTAAAATCCAGAACAACCCCAATGTTCCAGCTTTGCCTTCTACTGAACCATGGCACATTGGAAATGGTTCACAGAACTTATGGAACGCAATGTTTTCCTTCAGGTTCGAACCAAAGCATGGTCTTCATTTTGTGCACACCCCTAATAATTAATGTTTGTTCAGCCAGTCTTAACCAGCAGGGTTTCTAAATCCATGAATTATGGCAGTCTAGATTTGACAATCTGTAGGAAATGCTGATGAACAGATTTGGATGCTAACATTTTAAAACGTTGGTAAAACTGAACCGGTATTCATCGAATCTTACTGAAGTCTCAACTTAAAGGTTAAGGTTTGTACATTTGTAACTCCTAGTGAAAAAAAAAATTACTTCTCTTTAAAAATAAAAGAAGGTCAATGTTAGTTTTCAAAAGTTAAAGTGTTAACAATGTCCATTTATTTTTAAAAAAATGTTCCATGTTTGGTGAATGTCTGGATGTGCAGAAATTGCTGCATCATAAAAATAAGTCCTGTGAGTCACCAAACATAAACTAAATATGCTTGCTCTCTGAGAAAAGAACGGCATCATTTTACCAGCAAACTACTGCAGCTTCCATCTGGGGAAGACATCCAAAAAAACTGCAATTTACTTCAGCTTTAAAAGTTTAAAAGAATTTAAAAGTTCTGCACAAATGAAAAGGTCATGGAGAGGAAAGGGGATGCCAAGGGACCATTGTTAAGGCAACCTATAAACCCAAGGCAAGCATGTCCAAGGAACATCACCTTTGAACCTGGAGAGAATTAAAGATGGCAGCTTTTAACATATGTGCTTATAAGAGATTTGCAACTTATTATTCGTATTCTTTTTACATACGGGTAAGCTGTACAGTGTATACCAGTGTTTTTCAAACTTGGTAACTTTAAGAGGTGTGGGCTTCAACTCCCAGAATTCCTCAGCCAGCATGAAATTCTAGGGAATTCTGGGAGTTGATGTCCACACCTCTTAAAGTTGCCAAGTTTGAAAAACACTTATATACAGTTACCGAATAACTAGAAGAACGTAAAAACATAGCATGAAGACTTAGCTTGGCAGTTTTCTTCATTTATCTTCTCTGTTTAAAAGAGTCTTTCTGGCCTAATTCTGGATTTTAAATATTCCGTGCTCCTTGATAGAAAATTGCAAAATACTAATAATGCCTGTCTTATAAGCTACCCTTAGTGTTCAGAATTTTGGAATGTATAGCCTCCGTGCAATGCCCTTTTAAAAAGTTACTCCGAATTATAAAATACATAAAACAGAAATAAGTTGTTTACGCTTCTGTAAATATGTCAAGTGAGACAAATTGCTACTTGTCATAAGTGTCTACCATACCATTAG